TCAATAAAGAGTTCATCCCTGCATCAGCACGGAGACCTCTGCAGAAATCAAGGGGACGTGGCTCACTCGCTCCCAATCCAGAGGCTGTTAGAGACTAGTTCAGGCTGAGGCACAGATCAGCAATGCCAAATTGTGCCGAACTATGCCTTGGCTGCAAGGCCAGCGTGCTATATAGTAATTGAGGAACAAATACGACACAGACTTTGCCTAGTAAAACCCTCTCACTTACTTCAAGAGAATACTTACACCTCCAGAACAACCTCTGTACTAGAAGAGGTATAACCAGTCTAACAAAGCTAAATTGTCCACAGAGCATTTGGGGCCTGCATTCTAACCACTACAGCATACTGCCTCTATATTTTAGTATACAAAGTACTAGTTACCTTTATAAAAGGAAAAGTTGTGAGTGAGTGATCTTTCGAACATACTAGACACACAAAGGTTTTGTTACCATCACGTGCACTGATCACATCTAGAACAGCTTGGAGGATTGGGGCCTGAAAGGGCATCCAAGTAATTTAAACTGTTGTTTTCATATAGCTTCAGTTCAGATCCTTACTGAGATTATGATGGTAGTTGAGCTGGCAAAATGTTAATTTCACCTTTGACAGAATGACAACTTCCTCAAAATACAACACATACAGACTATTACAGAAGACATACTTAGCATTGGTACAATGAATTATGTTTAGATGCCATCAGAACCAAAGTGAAATGGGAATGAAACTTTCTGTCTTCAGTTCTATAAAGACAGAATGAATAGGAAGAGACAAGAGAGCAGGAAGTTTCACACTTTTTAAAATTTATACTTTAAATTCACTAATCAGTTACATGAGATTGATTCTCTGAGGTAGATAGAGCTGGTTGATAGTTTTCCCATCAGAACAGTTTTGCTTTGGAAAATGCTGATTCAGGTTTAAAAAAAAAAAAAAAAAGAAGAAAAACACATTTAAGAGAACATACTGATTTCATAAAAATTTGGCAAAAAAGTTATTGAAGTGCTTCATTTCAGCTTTTATGTTATATGCAGTTAGTAATGTAAAGGTAAAAATTCACTTCAATAAGGTTTCGATACTGAACAAAATTGTTTTGGAGATTTCATTGCACAAACAGTTTTGAAAATGACTTTTTGTTGTGATTCTGGACAAACAGAAGTTTTGAAATGTCAGAATTTCTCACAAAATGTGATTTTTCTAGTTTCAACCAGATCTGCTCTGAGGAAAAACTCTTCTCTTATGTTCCACAATCATTAATCCAAGGACGCACTGTTCATTTTCATCTCGCCAGTTTCAATCTGGAATAACTCTACTGAACGCAACAGAGTTACACAAGTTTAAAACCCTTATAAATAAGAGAAGGGTCAGCCCTTAGAAACAAATGAATCTTTTCAAATAAAGGAAACCTCACAGGCCAGCAATATCAGGTTGTGAAATCCTTTGTGAAATACAAAATGGGAAACAGTCTTGCTAGTAACACCACTATGGACTGAGTCATGGGCAACTTGTATCAAGATACGATCACCTTCATTGAGTTCCAGTGATTTATTTAGTAAATTCCCAGTGCAACAGAGGCTACAAATTGTGATAAACAGAAGCATGTCTTAATATTTACTAAATAACAATTCAAGCCACAGGAGACACAGAGAGGACAAAGTGAAAAATGTACTAACATTGGCTGGGTAGAATATTGACATTTTAGAGCCTTGGAACAATCGAGAAGTGGTAAATTTCCCTGGCTTTCCACTCACAGGGATAACTCACTGAAGACTGTCTGAAGCTGTGCTTGAAAGGTGGAAACAGAAATTCAGTGATCAAATATAATCACTGGAAATAAATGACAACGGCTCTGCCTTTCACTAAGTTCATTGATGGAAGTAATTTGTTAAGCACTGTGAACTTCCAGAAGTGACCCAAGCAGCCACAGGACTACAATCTTCTTCCTGCCTGCTACACCCTGTGGACAAACCCAGAAACTAGCATCGGGACCAAAGAATCAGAGTGAAGAATGATAAAGGAAAATAACAGCAGAAAGAACTGGCAAAGAAGCTCTTGCAGGAGTGTTACAAGGATTACAGTTCATTTATATAGCATATAGGTGTGCACTGCACTTTACAGACATATAAAACAGAGTATGTCACCACTCTGAAGAGCTTACCAAAAGTGCAAACAATCCAGATTGTTAGATTTATGACATCAACTTAAACCAGAATTGGAAAGAAA